CTTCATGGCGAATGGGATGCATCTTACAACGAACTTCCAGGTTGGTTTAGGTGGTGTGGACGTTGAATCCTGAGACAATTATAGACTTCGAAACCTCCTATGCATACCATAATGATCGAGTTCTTCGCGATCGATGCCAATTCTACCGGGTTTTTTTGGAGTTACCCACAATGCGTTAATGTTGTCAAATACTGCAAGCATGTGGTCCAGATCGACGAGACTTTCTTGTATGGAAAATACAAGCAAGTTTTATTATTGACAGTTGTCCAAGATGGCAATCACAACATTCTTCCAGTTGCTTTTGCTCTTGTCGAAGGAGAAGATACATATTCTTGGGCTTTTTTCCTCCGAAATTTACGTGCACATGTTATCACGAGGGAAAACATTTGTGTCATTTCAGATCACGGAGCTGGGATCAAAGCAGCAATGGAGTCTTTGGGTCCAATGTGGCAACCACCCTTTGTCCAACATAGGTTGTCTCCGACACATTGCTATGAACTACCATGGAAGGTACAAGAAGAATGATGAGCGTCAATTAATTGTGCGCATGGGTAAGTGAAACTGGTGTAGTTTGTTTTCTTTCGATCATTTTAATTTTGCAAAGAAAACAGGTTAGTAAGTTATACATTTTTTTATTAGGTTACGAACTAATTCCTCGAACATTTGAATCAATGCTTCAAGATTTGCGGGCGAAGCATCGGGGGTATGGGGGTAATTATGGGTATATAGCGCGAGGCAGGGGGCGCGCCTCCTAACGCGTGTCAGATTCACAGGTAAGGTGCGGCCCCTGCCCCGCGCCTTATGTGTAATTACACACATACCCCGCGCTTTACACACGTATCCATGTCATCATAAGACGCGCTTCAGGGGGCGCGCCTTACCCCACGTGGCGCCAAATTAGCATATACCGCGGTGCAAGGGGCGTGCTTTACTGCTAAGGGTGTTAGATCGGGAAATATAGTCTGACCGGTGTTAGATCGGTAAATATACCGGTCACCGGTGATTTTTCGGGAAAAATGCCGAGTTAATTAAGGTCTATTATATTGATAAATAATAACTACAATTATGACATGCATTGGTAGAAAGTATACTGAGCTATATCAAAATTACTCATTAATTAGTAACAAGGGTTGATTCAAGTGGTAAGCAACTTGATATCGCTCAAGCAATTTTCGAGTTCGAGTTTTTGTTTATGTAGAAAATCCTTGTTGGGAGACTCACCCACCAAAACCAGATATGTGATCCGAATCGATCCAGTTTAATCAGAGCAAAACCTTAAAAACCGAAAGAGTAACAAAAAAATACTCATTAATGACAGATTATTTAGTTTTAAAGGTAATGTACTAAAACAAGATCCCCATGAACGACAACACCTTCCCTCTCGCTAAGTACTGGTTGTTTAAGTTGCAAACAGCCGAAAGATGAGCGGCTACGAGCAGTAAATAGTTATGGTAATGATTTCCGAACGATTGCTCCATTTGCAGGGAACTATCGATGACCAAGAAACATCATGGAACTTGTAGACACCTGTTTTTGTTTGAGTCTTATCTTATTATTATTATTAATTAATTACATTTTGTAGACTTGAAAATGGAGCCCAAATTACAGTATCAACCATGCCCTAAGCAAATACAAGACCAAGCCCACCAAGATCCAACCCAACACTCAACCCAGCTCTGACTCGAAGCCCAAATCTAGATCCAGACCCAACCCAGGATCTGACTCGAAGCCCAAAAGAATAGGGTTTTCACCCAATCTCCCCCAATCGCCTCTTAATCTCAATCGTTGGATCTAATCAAAATTCAACGGCCCATAAACAGTAGCAATATGGTTTTTAATCCTAAATCCTATTCAGCAGCCGTCGCCGCCAGACTCTTCAGCTCCCAGTCGACGCGTGCACCTCACTGGTCTACTTCCCAGCCGAGTGAGCCACCATCGATGACTTCTTGAGCCGCCGTTTCAGCCATCCATCAAACAGTGATCGATTTCTGCACAAAATCAATTAGAAAATGAAAACAAATCCAAGGCAATATCCCGAGGAAATCTGACCATGTCACAATCTAAAATAGGGCAATCAAATCCTATTGTCTGGGAAAAACAACAAGCCAGTAGAAAAATATATAAGGAAACAAAGATAAATAGGGAGAAAAAAAGAGAGAGAATAGGTAGCGAGAACATTCGTGGGGAACCGATTGAAAAGAAAAAACAAAAGTAAAAAACAGAGGAGGGTTTTCGAAAGAAAAAAAAAGAGCTTTAAAAGAACAAAAAGCCCATTCGAAAAAACAACAACCAAGGAAAATACTTACCCTTTTCTCAGCCGAAATTATGACCCCTGTTAGCACTAAGCCTTCATTTTCGAGGTAATTACCAATGACTTTTTAGATCTAGGGAGAAAGACTTTGTTTTAGAGGAGTAGGGTTCGGTTTTCTACTGGAGGGTGAGGAGAGGCGTCTTTTGGGGTGGTTGCCTCTCTCCGGTCACCATGAACCGCCGTGAACGACGATTCTTCCCCTCCCGATGAGAGAGTTGAGAGAGTTTTCAAAACTCTCTCTCTTCCCTTAATTGAGAAACAAAGCAAATGAATGAGAGATGGTTGATTTTCGGCCTTATTTTACATATATATTACGTAAGGAACAACGTCGTTTTGAGGAAGGGGGTTCTGCGTGTTTTAACGTTTGGGCTAATAGCGTGTTTGGTCCTTGCCCTTTGTAATATCACCCGTTCTTTTCATATTTTTTGGGGTAAATCACATTGTAGGTCCCTTTAGCTTTGTAATATTACTTTTCAACTATTTAATGAAGTTTTACTTTATTTGGTTTCGAGCACTTATATTTCAGTATTTATGTTTTAGTCATGTTCTTATATATTATGTTATCCTGGTTAATGTTTGATTTTGGTCACGATATTTGCAAATCTTTTATTTTAGTCACTAATTTGCATATGGTTTAATTATCAATTACTCCTTCATTTTCTGGTTTAGTTTATTTTAGTCCCTAAACTTTGTCTATGGGTTATTTTCAATTCCAGTACATGTGTTGTTTAATATTTTCGATCTTGACCCTGGTTTGTTTGTATTTGTTGTTCAACCTCTCAAATTTATGTTAATACTATTTTGGTCCCTTAAAATCATCAATGTGATTATTTATGTTATTTGTGTTTAGAGCTGTAATTTTTATTTTATTTTGTTCTAGTCCTTCATATATATGTATATTTTATATATTACGACTCTCTGTATTATTTTAGATAGACATTATTAGTTTTATGTGTTGAAAATATTTTATTTTTATAGATTTCAAATTGTATTTGTTTTCATCATTTTCCTTTATATATCAATTTTATTTGAATTTTTTCAAGAACATTTATTTGTAGAATGAGCGTGGAAAGCATCACTTGGTCAAAGTGATGTGATCGATACAACATTTTAACGAAATGAGAACTTGAAATAAATTTAGTTTATTTTACTAATTAAGTTTATTTTTATCAAATAATGCAATGTATTTTTCTTTAAATGACAATTTATGTTATTTTACGCAAATGTCGATTTTTAGTTTACATTTGATATGCATTTTTTATCGAGGATGAAATATTCTTTACAGATAAGAAATAGGCAATATAGCTTTCTCGGTGGAGGATTGTTAATCTCGAGATTTCTTTTCAAGTTAAAGAATTTTTCCTAAAAAATAATTCGAAGCAAATTAATTAAACTTTAATAAATGGATCATTTTCTAAATATATATCCAATTCACAATTTTCACTATTTACGACAATGTGTAAGCGATTGAGTACCAATTATGGGTGATGTGGGGGTGTTAATCATTCCCTACGTGTAATCGACTCCCGGACTAGTTAAATCAGATTTTTGGTAAACAGAGACCAATTTGTTGTCTTACAAGACGATTTTTCTTAATATTGTTTTAAAAGACGTTTTTTTGTATTCGACCTACCTAACACAAAAGTCGATGGCGACTCGCATTCGGTCTCATCCAAATTAATTCAAATCAATTCAAAAATCGCCAAATTTCCCAAATAAAATCAGAATTATTTTTTTAATAATATTTAATTATTTTTTAAAAAAATGGTTATGAAAAAACTAATACGAATGATGCCACAAATGTGGAATTGTACGGGAGGCCGATAGATTGACAGATGAGAACTACTGAGTGGGCGTAGAAAACCATGGATATGAGCAGAGAAGTGTTTGATGGATATAGGGTTTGCCATCTTCTGGTGTTGATTTTGAAGGAGATGAAGTGAGAAAATGAAGGGGTTGAGGAGTTTTTGTTTCTGGGTTTCGAATTTATAGGAAACCAGGTGTGTGGATCGATTGACTTTGGATTAGTAAATTGTTTTCGGTCAATGTGAATGTGAGATTTAAGAACAAGTTGCCATGTTACAGGCTCCACCATTAACATATGAATTCAGTGGCAGATACACGTATAAGTAGAATTCGGGGTGGATCGTGTTCGTCTCGAAATCTAAATTTTTTTACGTTAATTGTTTATTTTATTGAAAATATTCATCTTAAAATTTTATTAATACCCATCTCATACGAAATTTTTTTGGTATTAATACATATGTAAAAATTGATGATCGTCTAAGTTAAACATTAACAGTCTGATTAGAATATAATAACCATTTGAGATTTTGAGATTTTATCTCATCATATCCCAACTAAGAAATTAACGTACAACTTAAACTGCCGCTATTTTTTATAAAGTAGCTCTCGCAGTAGTTTGTTAAATCATTCAAAAGTTGGTGTAATTTGTTAAATTTAGAGTTATTTAAGAAAAATAATTGAAAAAATAATAACAAAATCAGTATCATCTTCTTTAATTAATTGTATATTAGACTGCAGAATTTCCTCCTAATCGTGTTGTTTAGTTGATTGTGACTTACAAAGTAGAATTAACAATTATATTATATAATATAAAGCACACTGTCATATTTAAAAGCCGCCTCCGATTCGTGGTGTAAATATAAGTAAATATATAGGGGGTAAGGGAAAAAGGTAAGGGGGCAAGTAATTCGTTTCCAGTTTTTCCTAAGATGCGTTGCAGTTATGGATTGGCGGCGTTACCGGGTACCGACCCCCGTTTCTTTTCGCCGGAAACTTCCTTCCTCAGACTACCGAGAACGGTCCATCCGACCCGGATAAAATTTGGGCCGTTCAAAATCAGGGCGAAGATCGATGAAGCGAGGAAAGGCGTGAGTTTTTACGAGCTGCTGGGCATTCCCGAGAAGGGTACTTTGCTGGAGATAAAGCAGGCGTATAAGCAGCTGGCTAGGAAGTACCACCCGGATGTGTCGCCGCCGGATCGGATCGAGGAGTATACGGAGCGATTTATTCGGGTCCAGGAAGCTTATGAGACTTTGTCGGATCCGAGGAGGAGAGCTTTGTATGATAAGGATTTGGCTTTCGGGCTTCACCTTGCTTTCTCTGCTAGACGGCGTTATCAATACGATGAGGTATTTTTTATACTTTTTGTTTCCTTTTTTGTATTAACCTTTAGCTTTGGGTTTTTTTGTTTCCTTTTTGGGAGTATTTCATATTCGTGTTTTGTTTGTTTGGCTTAAATCGAATTTCTTTCTTCAAGAATTCAACTTTCGTAACTTTTAAGTTGGAATTTCAAAATTTTGATCATTTGGGTGACTATTTGGGGGACTGGATTGATGCTTTGCCGAATTTCTCAAGCTATATTGTTTTGACTGTTGTTGAAGAAAGCTAAGGTCAAAACTGATGGTCAAGTATTGAGGTTCACATGAGTTTCTTTGATCTTCTTTTGCTTCTTATCTGTGTTGACTAAAACATAGACAACATATTGTATCTGCTAAGCTTCAAGGATATGAAAGGTGTTGACTCAGTACTTCATCCCGTGACTTACTTTCCCGTTTGTTTTGAGGAAATTGAATTTTCCAAACAAAAGATTTTTCTGTGAAGATCAATATTTTGTTGTTGTTTGTTTTCGTCCCCGAAAGCTTGGATTCAATGATTGATCCTTTGTTGCTTTGATTTTAGAAGAGATCGGTCCCTGCATGTAGGGGATCTTCCCTTTTTCTGCTTTGCTTCAGCATGATTTTCAAAAGTGCAACACATATTCATACACAGAAAGAAGAAAAAGGATAATTTTTCATTGACCAAGTTATTTCTTGTGAAAGAAATACAAGTAAATACAGGAATCATTCTCGAGGGACCGTTTTCTGCAGAATGGATGAACTTATTGTCTTCACCTGTAGATTATATCATTGAGTCTAAGATGCATACAAGTAGCTCAGCTGTCTGCTCGAGTTCTGTTTCCTTCTTGAATCCATATTAAGTTCATGTGTAGTTACCGGTACGGGAAACAATAAGCAATCTACTTCATTCACTAGATTCTCTTTATTAATTGGTTGAAGTGAGTTTTTCTGTGTGCCTTCAAAATATGGTGAAACTGGCTTTTCTTGTTTTGTTTGCGAATGGATATAATTAGTTGTTAGTCATCCTTCTTTGCTATGGAACTTCTTAGTTGTTCCATGATTCACCGATTAATCGCTGCACTTGTATGCTTAAGATCCCGATTTGCCATGGTTATTAGGGAGACAAAGAGGCCCTTGTTTGTTACTGCTCTTGCAAATAGGATTTGCCTGTAATGATTTAGTAATGCTAATGATGAGATCATTAGGTTTGTCTGGCCTCTTAATTCGGCAAAATCTTTATTCCGAATCTTTTACTTCTGGATTGCTTTCTTTTCCAATGAAGGTTGCTTTCCCTTTCAATTCTGAGCAGACAGTAGTTTGTTTTGTGATGGGAAATATGCCTAGTAATCCAGTTAAGACTCGTCGGCATTCCTTCATCCCTACCATATGTTGTACTTACTGGTCTGTTGACAGAATCCGTTATGTTTGCTTTGAGTTCTTACATTTCTCTTCACATCCAGGATCTAGAGGATCGGAGCGAGTGGAGAAATCAATGGCAATCTCAGCTATCAGAGCTGAAGAAAAGAAGCATGAACAATGATGCCGGAGGAACAATGTCATGGGGAGCTCGAATGCGGAGGCAAAGGGAAGAAATGTCTAAAGAACTATAAACAAGACTTCCCTTTCACCCTCAAATGTATACACACAAATCTGGTAGCTTTTTTTGGTCTTTTGCATATAAATCTTCCTCGTCTCTATTTATACAATGGTGATTTGATCATAATTGCTCAAGTGCTAATCTGAGAACCAAATGCTACTACCATCTCTCAACGTTGTACATGAATCCATTCACTTTTTACTTGTGAAATTTGACTGTTTTCATGTACATATTTTTGTCTTGGAGCCTCTTTGATTTTCATTCCTTTTTTTGTCATTCCATAGATTCATAGTTCAATAAAACCAGATAGTTCATCGGCCGGCGATTCGAACAAGGTCGACGACTAACTTTCCCGAGAATTTAATCATACTTTTAAACGGATACCAAACGATGTGAAACAACATTCTTAATAATAGCATTCCCATCAATCACATTCCATTAAAATGCCCCATGGGAGACAATGCAATAGTCATTCCTCCCAATCAGAACTCTGATTAACCCCCTATGCCTCAAATGCTTACACAAGGAGTGTGGGATAAAGATTTACAAACTTTATAACTTATTGCATGCATACAAATAATTTCTCCAAAAATGCTTTGCCATACTTGATTTTCCAACATCAGTGTAAATGAGAAACGTTGACATGATCAAAAGAAGACGATAATATACCCGGATGCTGTTCCTTAAGATACGAGTATATACCTGCTAATATGGAGGATTCTTTGAAAAAGCGGAGGATGTCATATAAGAAAGATTTGAGAACAGGATGTTTCAGACAGAAAAATGGTGTGGTTAATTTCAAGGCCTAGACAAAGCTTTGAGATGAGCAAGGAAACAAGGTGCAAAGGAACACAGAACTCGAATCTGATAAAAAAATCCGATAACCCTGTACGTAAAGCAAACGGTGGTAACATAAACACTAACAGGAGAGGTGAATAAATGAATGCCACTACTTTCCTTTCCCCCTATCTTACATTTATTGTAAATATAAGAGTTCTATGTTACAAATCAAAATTGCAGTGGAATTGCAAGGGCCCACAGCTAGTTTCTCTCACCATCTCAATTAGAAAGAGCATCTTAGCTTTAAGCAATTCAGATAAGAATGCACAAGCTTATACATTACCTTTTCCTAAGGCACCGTCATTCGGTTGCTTTCATTGCTTCGTGAGATTTGAATGAATTAGTTGTCTCGTACCAGGATGCAAATACACAGCCTACAGTTCCAGGAGGTGGAATGACCTGATAGAGCAAAGTGATGGTTGCCGTGCCAGAGCAGTTTGGCTGCCAGTCGTTCAAAAACATTCACTGCAACAATCGCGATCGACAACAAAAGAATGCTGAATAGAAAACCAAAGAATCAACCCCCCAAAGGGGAAAACCCAGCTGCAGTGTAGAAAGGTTAACCATGTGCCCACTAATAAAGTCAATCAGTATGGAATAACGTATGGAAGAGCATAAATATCATTCGACTCTATCTGCAGAGCCTCTGCCCATACTTGCGGTGACTCATCAATCTCTGAAAATCCCACCTTGGGTTTCTTTGATTGAAGTTCAATACTGTGAAATAGCCATGATTGGTGATCAACATCAGACCATTCTTCCATTTCGAGCACAGAAAGTACCTGGTTCAAATACTTCGAATCCGGATGAGGTGGCTTGATAGACACTTCATCGATTTGACTAGCTCGTGCACTTGATGATAAATGCTTTGTTGGGGTGACAGATGACAGCTGAGCTTCAAAAATATCATTAAACTTGCATTCTTTATTCTCGACTCTAAGACTGGTTCGTGGTCCCTTGCTATCTAAAGTAAGTGGAATGGGAGCTTGACAATACTCCAATGTCTTTCCAATACCCATCAACGATTGAGAGGAAGAAATTTTGGGCAACTTATGGGGTTTAAAATCATCAACTGTAAGAGAAAAAGAAAAGAAAGCAGAACTTGTCACCATGATGGTCAGAGAGTTTTCGAACTCCATCCCCTTCTAAGAAAAAAATGATAATAAAATTATAGCTATTAATGCAATTGCACAGGTTTTCTAACAGATAAAAGGCACCAAAGGTTCATGTGATCACCTACCTAAACTAACACCAAAAATGTTTTCAAGTGATCAATGGGATTGTATATACAATCATGGTATAAAACTCACCATGAAGAAATCCATTTTTCTCCATGTCCTTCCACTTGCGGAGATTTTCCTCAGCAAAAGCACCCTTGTTTCCCTCCTTAGAAGGATGTGATGTTTTCATATTAAAATTATTCAGAGGGTCATCTTTGTTGCTTCCTTTTAAGTTATCCAGCTCCAAATTCCTATGTTCACCTTTCGCCTTCTCCTCCTTCGCCTTGTCCCTATCTTTATCTTTCCCGTGACTTTTCTTCTCTTGTCTTTCCCCTTGTGCTTATCCCTGATTTTATCATCACCTTTTTCTTTGATTTTTTCTTTCTCTTCCCCGGCCTCTCGGCATTATTCTCCACTTGTTTGGGGATCCCTTCAACTCTAGCTTTAGCTGCTCCAGCAAGGTTTGGAACCATAGCATTTCCACCCACCCTCGTCTCCTCCTTGATTCCTTGAACATTGAACTTCCTATCGTCGCTTTTCTTGATTGTCTCCTCCTCGTCAGCCAATTTATTAGCAGTCTTAGCCACAAACCTAACCATTCCCTCATCTTTTTTCCAGTCACTGCCCATAAACTTATCCACCAAATGGCTTCCAGCTCCTGCACCTTCATCTCTGAACCTCCCTGCTAACTCCTGCACAAATTTAGAATCCCGAAAATCTTCGACCAGATGACTATTCTGGCCAATCTTCTCCCCATTATAACCCGAAATGTGCCCAGCGAGTTTCTTCTCACCTGAAAAACGGCTTCGATCTTTATCCCTACCCTTCCCTTTCTGGATAAACTTCTCCCCACTGTGACAGTTAGATTTTCCCGGAATTTTTTTATCTGAGATCCTCTCCCCATTTTGACCATCGGGATGACCAGGAAATTTCTTTTCCTCTGAATTATTACTTCTATCTTTTTCTTTATCTCGTCCCTTTTCCTTCTTTTTGTCTCTATCTTTGTGTTTTTCCTTTTTGTCTTTCTTTTCCTTGTCCTTGTGCTTTCCATCGCTTCCATCTTTTTCTTTCCCTTTCTTTTCTCTCTTCCCCTTCTCCTTGTCCTTCTTCTCCTCCTTATGACTCTTCTCTTTTTGCTTCTCCTGAAAATCGAGAATAATGTTAACAAAAAATGGATTCATAAATCAAATGCAAAAGTTGAAAATAATTACTAAAGATAAAGGCTTATATGTAATAGGCCCCTTCACGATTTTTCAAATAAGGCCTCACTTGATCACGGTTTCTCATATAAGGGATCATTTGATCCATGGTTCAAAACAGGGGCTCACTTGATTAGAGTCCAATTAGAGGAGACTTTTATATATAAGCCAAAGATAAATTATGCACCAAGTTACAATCAGTCCAAAAATAAAGATGCCGATGAAAATACCTTACTCAAAAACTTACACACCACTAATGTAACAAGAAATTTTTTACAGGATTACTTAAAGGTCACCGTTGAAGATAATTATCTCAAAAAAACCCTTTGTTTTCTGTCTTTATGACAGTGGAAATTGAAGGTATATGATAAAAACATTAACGTGTCTTAAGAACATCAAACACAAGTGCCATATGATTCAACTATTCTAACAGATATTAAGAATGTCAAAACTTGGTAAGAAACCGATTCTTCCAGATATGGTAAAAACAGACACCAAATTAATTAATTCATGCATTCTTCATTAATAACTTTATGCTCAAACCAATCGGACAAGGGGTTGATATCATATCCAATATTTTTCCATTCATTACTTTCCAATACATTAATTGAAATCATTAACGTGTACCATTCATTAATTGTGAAAGTCATGCTTGTAAATGGTGATCAAACTTGAATTGAATAGTAACAGACATAAAAGTAGCGGAGGGGAGCTGAACCCTAGGACAAGCACGACTACACACTCAACTCCTCACTTATCAAAGGCAACAAGATCGTCACCCTCAGTAAGAACAGAAGTTAAAAGTTATACATTCAGAAAGATGGCTGACAAATCCTCGAAATCCTAATGAAAAAAAAAATCAAATTCTTTGTCATGTGATCCCTAGACCAAGCCTAACACCATTTAGTATAATCTTTTCTCCGGTGAAGTGAAACAGAAGGTGAGAGATGTTGACCCAAGTTAACCTTTCATTCAACAGGATATTGACAAATTTCATGCCATGCATATTTAGAGGTTATAAGCATCTAAATGTATCATCAGAGATATAATAGAAAAGCATGACATATATTCTTATATACAATATAAGACTATCAAAACACATGAGATGTTCGTTCAGTCATAAATATCACCATCAGTGCCTAATGGTGAGTATATACGATATGCCATTTCAACTAAGGCTCCAATTCAACCACTTATTCCTATATATATATTGAGAGGTATTTCTATATGATATGTTCATAATACACAGTCTATCAACCTAATTTATGAAATTATATACAAGCTTCAATCAGCAAGGGATGGCATTACAAAATTACTAGTAAAACAAATCACATAACATTATGCATACATAAAATAAATTTTGAGAGAAGACATCAAACACTTTTGTAGAGAATTTATTTAACGTGGCTTGGAAATAAAAACTTAACAGCACAAACTAAAATCCAATTCAGATATCAGGGAATTCGTTCTCGTAATGATACTAATGAATGCTGATTCTACCATAAAAAATAGAACAGATTACAAGTTAATGGTGTTAACCTTATTTAGCAAGTCAACATTATCAGTCCTAGCCTTCTTTTCATATCCTGGTGGTGGGAAAGGAAAGCAACGCGACATTTCACAGAAGTTCAGAACACAAAACGAGAATACCTTCCGAACGCAAAAACGCTTGGATTATCTTCCAGTAGCAATGTTCCAGAAAGGGAACAATCAGTAACTATGCTCCTATCCATGAACCATATCCCTGCATACATTTCCAGCTTCAATGTTCCCCCATGAACTCCGCCGCCACTCTTGATAGCTAAAAATAAGCCCTAAACCCACCAAGCTCTTTAATCTCCCTAACCTCAAATGTAACCCCACTTCAACTATCTAACACTAAACAAACCACTTCAAATGACAAAAATCACCGCAACAAACCTTCAATCACTCCTAAACCTACTGTTGTCTTACCCTAAGCTACTTCAAGTATGCCCCAAAAAGAAATGCTCTGTTGATCAAGAATTGTAGCTCGAACACTAGGTTAAACCAAATGGGTTTTTAAGAAACTAAAACAGTCCAGTACAATCTGAGCCTCTCTGTTATCTGCAGCATAATAAAGAATCATCACCTCCTCCTCCCAACAATAACCCAATGCCAAAACCATCCACCAATTGAGATCAACCACATAAAAATCACTAAAAACCCAAACAGCAAACAACTAAATCCTCAAGCTTTTGAATCACTATCTACGGGATTAATTACGAGAGCAATCTTCTTCCTTGTCCAAGAGCTTTTCAATCACCATTTCCCTTAAGCAGTCTGTTTGAAACTAAACTGATAGAGAGAGAGAGCTCCCAATCCAGTACTGCAAAAACAAGAGGCTGAGCTCATTTATACACTGATCAAAACCCTAATCAGTTCCCAATTCGGGAAATTCCCCCCAATTTGTTGATCCGGAAGAAACCCCTAGAAAGAAAAAAAATCCAATCAAACAAAACTTCAACTGAGCAAATATCAAGTACCCATTAAATAAAAGAAGGAAAACTTTGAGGAAAGCCTCATTTTTCATCCAACAAATAATCAAAAGAAAAACCCTAAAAACGTTTAAAAAATAAACTTTCGTTTTTCCGAGTACCATGAGAGTACATGGGTATCTATCAAAAGCCAAAAAGGAAAGCTTTGGTTCAAAGCGTAAATGTTAAACAAAAATCAGTTCATAAAATAAAACAAATTTTGAAGGTAATAAGGAAGATTAGATTAGATTAGATTAATACCTTGCCCGCAACAAATTGGGCATTTTAGCAATGAACAAGATCGTTTTTTCCCCTTTATTATTGCCCTCGAATTAATAAAAAAAATTAGATTATAAAATCAAAAATTACAGAGATGAGTAGAAGAAGTAAACAAAAGTTCAATCCCCAGTTTCTCTCTACCTGTTGTGGTTGTTTTTCTCTGCTTTTTTTTTTTTTTTTTGTTAGTATTTTTTTTGGGGGTATTTGGAGAAAGATAAAGAGCTCTTCTTTGTTAGAAGAAGGTCTTATTATTATTATTATTATTATTATTTGCGCGAGAGGAAATTGGAAGAAAATTTAATCCAAACAAAACCAAAATTAATTAATTAATTAAGAGAGGCCGAAGAAGAAAGCCGAAATGGCCCAAAATACTGCATAAATGGGTAAATTACGCGTTAGTATTTAAACTATTATTTTTTATTCGTTTTAGTATTTAAATTTTTTTAAAACTATACATAAAGTTTAATTTTTTTATTTTAGTACTGCCATTAATTTTTTTTTCATTTTAGTACTTCGTTCAAAATTTAACGTTAAGTTTTGAAAAAATTAAAAGTTTAGGTACTAAAACTGATCAAAAAATGATAGTTTAGGTACTAAATGTATTAAGTTTTTAATGGCATGTACTACAATGAAATGAAAACTAAACATTAGATATGATTTTGAAAAAATTTAAAAATTTAAATACTAAAATGAATCAAAAATGATAGTTTAGGTATTAAATGTGTAGTTTACCTTTATACCATTAAGTAGCTTTTAATCCTTCACTTTATATTTTTTTTAATTTAATCTTTATTTTTATTTTTATTTTTAATTTAAGTAATTACAATATGATATATGTTTAAAACATTTATTAATCATTAACAATAGATAAACTTCTACAAACATAACTACCTAAACATGAAATCTCTAAATAAAACAACGCACTCATTTATCATCGAGATTATTTAACGAGTTTAATCTTTATTTTTATTTCATATATTAATTTAGGAATTTAAATATATGAATTAGATTAAGATTTTGTTGTTTTTTTGTATTGTTTATAAAATTATTTAATATAAAATTAATTGAATATTTTAATTTTCAAAAATAATATTCAATATTATAAATAATTATTAAATTTATCAAAAATTAACAACTGTTACAAGATCGCAGTGATTTTTTTATAATATAATTTTAAAAGTTTCAATGACTGAAAATAAAATAAAAATTATCATAATTTATTTTTGTAATACTCATTTTAAATTAATTTATCAATAAATAAAAAATACCGATATTTTATTGAAACAAATTAAAACATTTACGTGGTTGTGGGCGTTTATCCCGAAAAATCACCTTTTTCATTTAATATTTTTGATCAGGCATCGTTCAGATTATATTTCTTGATTTAACACCCTTTGCATGAATTCGCGCCCCCTGCACCGCGTTTTACGACACGTGGTCGAAGGCGCGCCCCGTAAAAAATCCGAGTGCTAATTTTGTAAATATTTTTAAACAGATGTCAAATACATCATTAATTTCTATTATGGTGACATTTGTGTAAAAATGTCAGCATTTTGAATTTGCAGACACCCCACACCGCACGATTTGTGCTGAGGTCTTGTCACAAGTTAATAAAGTGGGCAGTGTGTATAGTGGTTGAGTTTATTAGTATTTTAGTGTCACAACTTTATTTTTTAATTACAATTGATGGATCAAATGAATTATTATTCATTAATTTTTAATTCTTAACAACAGTTAATAATGTTTATTCATTTTAATAAAATTATTTAAATTTTTGCATTAAAATTACACAATATATATAATCTAGTATATAAAAATTTTGAGGGTAAGTATTTTAAAATATGAATAATTTTATAAAAATTTTATAACTATTATTTCTTTTACAAAATGATGATGATGATAAATATTTTAAAATTTAAAAAATTATAAATTTCATATATTTTTGAAAAAATTATTACCTTTTAAAATTAATTGTTTAAAAATATAAAAAATATTAAAATAAATTTTTAATTATAATTGAGGGATCAAATAAATTATTATTCAATATTTTTTTCAAAATATATGAAATTTATAATTTTTAAAATTATAAAAAAAATTATTACTATAAAAAATAAACTTGTGACACTAAAATAATAAACTCAATCACTACACACATTGCTCACTTCATTAAAACCTCAGCCAGTTCACATCCTGCACAATTTTATTGACTTTTTTACACAAATGTCACCATAATAGAAATTAATGATATATTTGACACCCGTTTTAAAATATTTATAAAATTAACATCTAAATGTTTTACACATTTGGTAAGGCGCGCCCCCAGGACGCGCCTTCGACCACGTGACGTAAAGCACGATGTAGGAGCGCACCTTCCTGCAAAGGATGTTAGGTCAGAAAATATAATTTAAACGGTGTCTAACATAAAAATATATAAGATTAAAGTGATATTTCGGATAAACTCCCGTGGTTGTGAGCAAATCATGCAGTATCAAAGAATATTTACCTTGGCAGGCTGCCATTTTCTCATAGCGGTGGAGAATAACCACGTGGCAACACCCCAGGCTATCAAATCACCCATCTGTCTATACACATGTAATCCTATCATTTCCCCATGTGAACTTGCTTCCTTCAATCACATTTTCAATAATTAAATGGTTAATACTATTCAACTAGGGTTATGTATTTTTTTTAATAATTATACTATAAAATAATATCTTTAACTATAAATAATATACAACAAAGGGTAAACTACCCATGTAGTACCAAACTTTTAATTTTGGCCCGTTTTAATATTTGAACTTTTGATTTTTTTTAAAATCATACCTAAAATTTAATTTTTATTTCATTTTAGTATCTCGTCGTTTTGTCATTGTGACTATCCAACTGTGTTGAAAACATCTTGGATAATAGGTAATTCGGATAGAAAGTTTTTTGGGTGCCCAAAATTTGGGGAAAAGAATGAAAAATATTGTTTTCTTCAAGTGGTGTGATGCAAAAATACCCACCCATCCAAAAGCTTTTATTGTTGGTATATTAAAATTGAAGAGGGCTTTGGAAAATGCAATGATGAAAGAATGGATTATTTGGATCTTCTTTATTGGTCTTTTATCTTATGTAGCATTCTTTGGGTTTAGGAAATATTGATTTAAGGATCAAGGAGATGCAGCCAAGTTTACTCAAAATTATCATGAATGATGTTGATTTAGGGGTTGATTTATGAAGAACTACCTGTAAAAATAAGAACACTAAACCTATGAAATAAGAATCCTAAACCCAAAGAATAAGAACCCTAAAAAATTTGAATACAGTTCTTGAAGAGGTACCATTGCCTAGTGGGTTTTCAATGGTTGCCTTCATTATCAAAATTCATTTATCTAAAACAAGGGGTTATTCATTAAACAACTTAAATTAAAACCTCTTTATATTCCACATTTTCATGTGGGATGTGTAATACCCAAAATTTTGGTTAGTGACTAAAATGTAAGCTTGAAAATTTAGTGGCCAAAATATGAATTTATAAAAGTTTAGGGGGAAAATGTATTTTTAAAAGTTATATAGTTTGACATGTAAATGAATAGTTTGTCCTGAAATAAATGTTTTAATGGGAATCAGAATCTTGATTCGTGATTTGTACTAAAAGCTTTAAAACATTAAAGTTCGATAAGAAATCGGATAATCGAATTGAATCGGAATTTCACAAAAATTTGAAGAAAACTGGATAAAGTTTGGAAATATTATTTCCATATTTTAGAACAGTGAAATTTATCATGGATAAATGGAATTAAAGTTAATATTCCTTATTTATCTGAAATTGGGAAAAATTGGTGAATTGCAATTTTCAAAAATTGCAAGGCCAGAGTAGAAAAATCAACTTCAAATTGGTTCATCTTTGACTATGAGATATTTTAATGGAAGATATTCACAATGGCAATTGGTAATTATCATCAATGACAATTGGTAATTATCATGATTCATTAATGACAATTTTGGGATTTCTCATTGAATTTTATATTCAACTATATTGAAGTTGTTGAATAATTCTAAAGCATGAGTGATGATTAAAATCAAGTGTAGAAGCTTAAACTATGTTAGCCATGGTCAAGGTTTATTGAGGTTGGTGGAATTTTGATTCAATTTGATGTTGTGATGATTGGAATGGCTTGAATTTTATGTAAGAAGGTTGAATTCATGCTTGAAATTGAATGGAAAGTTACCCAAACTACTTTGTGATTTTCGGCCATAAAGGGAAATTTGAGGAAAAATGTTGAAAAATCTCTTATGATCTAGAATTGATATTAAAATATTTTATGTGATTTGGAGATTGATTTGGATCAATTTGGAAGCTTAAAATAGAAAAAGGGTTACTTTACAAGTTTTGAGAATTGGGGGACTTTATTATATAAATGTCTTAATTGAGGTGTTCAATGTTGAATTTTAATGTTGAAGTGCTAGAATTTTAAGTTAGATTAAGGATGAAGGATCATCATGAATTAAACGGAAAAGTTGATATAAATTCTAAAAAGAATTCATAGCTAGAGGTTTGATTTTGGAAAATTAGTAAAAGTTGAGGATCAAATAAAAAATATGGAAAACTTGGAAACTTAAATGAAAATGTTATGTGGAGTTTTGACGAATTTAGAAAAAAAATGGACCTGAATGGTCAATTAGAAGTGTTAAGGTCAACATTTATGTTGTGACATGGAATTTGTATCGAATGAGCATCGAAAGATTTTTAGGAATTTATTTTCTAATGTGTGCCTGTGTTAGTAAGATTTTAACATGTGGTTTGAATCGTATATGTTTTGGAAATGGTGTTTATTTAGATTATGATTGAATCAAGATCAAACAATAAATAAGCTAAGGAGAAGCTTACGGATGAAATATGAATTTCTAAGGAATATTGCAAGCTAAGGACACAAGTGAGTGCATGTTTAATGTATATTTATGTTATCGAACAAACATTAGTTTGCTTTGAGCCTATGATGGAATTACTATGGTAACACCTAAATATTATGTGATTTGTGATTCATATATAAATGTTCATTTGGTAAGCCAATAGAATTATGAAATAAGCTAAGGATGTAAATTAGTGAAAGTTGCCTAAAATTATGATTTGAACAGTAAGTTTAGAAAATTATCATAAATTAAACAAAAGTAATTAGAGGATGATATTTTTACAGTTGGATTTTATATCAGCCTAGTTTTGTTTAAAACAAACGGCTACTGATTTCGAGGTGTATAAAAATATATGAATTTTTAATCGATGATAGGTCAGAAAACAGGAGAGCAGATTCTGCTCAAAACAATTTCTTAATTATAAATTGGTTATTTTGTTTTAAAATTTTGAAGACGAGTTATTAAATTAACCCATTGTTAAATAATAGGTCAGCTTATCATTAAATATCACATGATTTATGTCGTGAAATATTATATTTATAGTTATAATCAAGTCGTTCAATTAATTACTTTTAATAATCAATCATATTTCGTGACGTTAATTGTTGCCGATCATTGTATACCATGATGGATGGATCTTGAAATTTATTATAAAATTCACCTTATTCCTAGGAATGGGCATGGATCGAGTTTGGTTTGGGTTTTGATCAATCTAACCCGATCCGACTCGACTCGAAAAATATATACCCTCTACTCGACTCGAACTCGATCCGATTTTTTTAAGAGAAAATTCGAATTCGATCCCACCTGACCCGAAATAATAAAAAATATTTTTTTCATTCAATAAAAATGGTGATTTAATTGGAAAAAAATAATATATAGAGGGGTATTATTGTAATTATTCCTAAATATAAGGTAAAATTATATTTTTTTGGGGGTCGGGTCTGGTTAGGTATTTTTCACACTTAATCTGATCCGACCCGACCCGAACATCACCTTTAAAAAAATTGACCCAACCCGATCCAAACCCGATTTTTTTTAAAACAGGCCGGGTCAAGTCGGAATCATCGAGTTCGGGTCTCATGCACATTCCTACTTATTCTCATCTTTCAATTCATCAATTAATAAAAACCTTTTCCAAATTCCAATCTTTAGGTCAAGTCGGAATCGTCGAGTTCAGGTCTCATGTCTATCCTTACTTATTCTCATCTTTCAATTCATCGATTAATAAAAACCTTTTCCAAATTCCAAAATAATTTTTCTTTTCCAAAACAAGAAGCACAAATCTAGGGGCTAATGTGGAAAAAATTAGGGATTAAATTGGGAACAGTTCCGAGTTCAGGGGCTAATAGCTGCTTTAACCCTTTATGATAAAGCAAATTTTATATAAAACAACAGATAAAGCATATAAATAACTGTCTGACCCTTAAACCCTAGCCGCTTGCTTGCTTCCTTTGCTTCAAAACCCTTAAAGCCGATTCCCCAGTCTCTACATCACTCTCATAATTCCGCCTTGAATTTATCTCCTTTAAGGTGAAAATCTTTGCTTTTGATAATTTGGTCTTGATTATACTTACCCGTCTTCTCAATTTTGATGTTATTTGGGCTGTTGGTTCTTATTTGTTATGCTATTTTAGCCTTTTGCCTTGTTTCGTTGATTTTATTTGTGGGTTTTGTCTTTGTTTTTGTATATCTTTTGCTTTTTTGTACTTAATTTAAAAAGATTTGTTTTAGGGACTTGTTAATCATCATGTTTTCTGTTTGTTTTGGTTACTAGTTGAACTATTTATATCTAAACTAACATATTAATTTGTTTTTGTTCCATTTGATGGTGTTGATATGAAAAAAAAATGGTACAGTCGAGCATTATAATGGCACTTTCTAGCAAACTTGGAAGCCTTTTGAGACAAAATGGACAAACCCCAATGATGTCTTCGATGCTGAACTCTCTTCGTTGCATGTCGACTTCGAGCAAAAAGCTTTTCATCGGAGGTACTTATACATGTTTGTTTGTTGGTTGAAACTAAATTTTGGTGTCTTTTGCTTTGTGGTTTGACTTGAATTGAATGTTTGGTTCTTAGGTCTTTCATATGGAACTGATGACCAAACTCTCAAGGAAGCGTTTTCTGGATTCGGCGAGGTTTCTGAAGGTGAGTTGTATTGGTAGTTCTATTGGCGGCGTTGTTAAGTTTTCGGTATTATTATCGACCGTTTTAGTCTATTGTATGAAATAGAAGCTAGCATTTAACATGAAACAGGTGAACGATGTTGCATTATATGATTATTTGTTGCGGATTGTTGCATAATATATCTCTGTCTCTCTCGTAGTTTTCTTGTAGATGTTGATTAATGATGAGTGCGAGTTAGTGTGTTGCTTTTTGTTTTAATCGAAGTTGTAACTAGTTTGTCTCGCATGGCTTGTTAATGATTTCGATCATTTGATTTTTTATTTTTCATGTACCAATCGATGTTGATAGATATTCTCGTTCTGACTATCTGATCCGTAATTATCAGCTCGAGTTATCGTTGATAGAGAGACTGGGAGGTCCAGGGGCTTTGGTTTTGTTAACTATGCTAATGATGAAGGTGCCAACAATGCCTTGTCAGCCATGGACGGACAAGTGAGGAAAACAAAATTTACCGATATATGCAAGATTTTTTTGATGAAATCACAAAGTAATAATTTTTCACTGAAATTGCAGGAACTCCATGGGAGAAATATTCGGGTTAGCTACGCCACTGAAAGGCCTAGTGGCCCTCGTTCTTTTGGTGGCAACAGCGGTGGATATCGTGGTGGAAGAGGCGGCTTTGGAGGGGATTCGGAATTCTAGGCCCTCGTATCGGAACTTGTCCAAGGACTCGCTTCTTTAGCAAGTAGTTATTAAGATTCAAGGATGTGTGTATTTATTTTCAAGGATTGCTGAACTTATGCTTGTCATAACCATTTTTTGTAAAACAATTAAATATTATTTTTAAAAACAATTATGACTTTAATTTGGAAAAATGGGTGATTTTGAATTGATTTGAATAAAATTAAAAAGAGTCGCCATCAACCTTTGGGTTAGGTAGGTCGAATACCTAAAAACGTCTTTTAAAACAATTTTAAGAAAAATCATTTTTTAAGACAAGATTCGGTCTGCATTATCAAAGATTCATTTAAATGGATTCGGGAGTCGGTTACGTGCGGGGAAGGGTAAACACCCCCGCAACGCCCAAAATTGGTACTGTGTCGCTTACACATCGTTGTAAATGGTGGAATTTATGAGTCGAATATAAAGTTAATTTATGATCCATTTATCGAACATTAATTAATTTGCTTCGAATTATTTAATTAGAGAAAATTTTTTAACTCGAAAAGAAATCTCGAAATTAGCAATCCTCCATCGGGAAAGCTAACTCGACTATTTCTCATCCATAAAGAATATTTCCTTCTTGATAAAATGTGAATCGAATATAAATAAAATTGATGTTTGCATACAACAAAATAAATTGATTAACTAAAATGTGAATTGAATACAAATGCAAATTTTGAGATTGACATTTACATAAAATAAAATAAATTACTATTTAAAATAACACACATCGCATCATTTGCACAAATTAATTAATGAAATATACTCGACTTGTTGCAAGTTCCTATGTCGTTAAAATGCCGTATCGGATCGTACCACTTCGACCAAGTGATACTTTCCACGCTCATTCTACGCATACGTGTTCTTAAAAGTATTTGGACAATATTTAAATAAAGAAAAATGGAAATAAATAGAAATAGGAATATGTGAAATAAATATTTACAACAAATAAAATTAAGCATATTTAATTACATATGGTACAAATAAATACATAACATGAAAAATGTACATACATAGGGGATTAAAATAAAAGAAAATTAATATTACAAACCAAACTATAATGACAAAAAAGTACTTTGAATTACAAAAACCCAAAATAACAACCTATAAACTCAAAGGACCAAAATAGTACAAACATGAATTTCAAAGGACTAAAATGAAATAAATAGAAATATGAAGGGATTAATCGGTAAATAAAAAAAACAGAGCCAAAATCAAAATATTAAACATTTACAAGCACTAGAAACGAAAATAAACCATAAACAACATCTAGGACTAAACTGCAATAACCAAAAACATGAAGGCCGAATCATAATAAACCAAAAGTAAGATAATGGCTAAAATAATAGATTTATAACTATCATAGCCAAATTTGAATATCAGAGAAAGTACACAACACCTAAGATCAGTGACTAAAATATAATATTTATAAATGTCAGAGATAAATTCGAAACTCAGCCAAAATACATAACATATAAACTCAGGGGCTAAAATGAAACTATTACAAACATTGGGACCAAAGTCAAATATCCACAAAAATGACATGACATACATTAGTAGGACTAAAATATAAACAAGGAAACATAGATGCCCAAAACAAAAGAAAATAAAATAGATATTAAACCAAACATCAAACAATGACTAAAATAGAATATATACGAATATGATGACCAAATTCAAATAACAGTAAAGATAATAAAATGCATGGGACCAGTGATTAAATTAAAATATTTGAAAATATTAAATCCAGAATCAAATATAGACAAATATGATATAAAACATGAACAGGGACTAATATATAACATTTGCAAATTTCAGGACCAAATCCGAATATCAAAGGAAAATGCACAATAAACTGAAACAGTGACTAAAACGAAATAAATATAAATATCACAACCAAATTATAATATCAACCAACATAATATACAAATTAATGACTGAAATGCAATCATTAAAAACTAAAAGGCTCGAAATAAAACAATAATAATTTCATTAAATGACTTAAATAAAGCATTACAAATGAGAAGGGACCTAAACTGTAGTTACCCCATGCTTGCAAAAACACGGGTGCCCAGACCCTTGAAACGGCGCCGTTTGGTCAAATTACATAAGCCCAAAAACGGGCATTCATTCATCCATCCTCTCATTTGCCTCTCATCCAAAGCAGACGGAAGTGAGAGAGTTTTAAAACTCTCTCAACTTCTTCCCATCGGGGAAGAAAGGGCCGCCTCATACCGGCGGCCATCCCGGAGGCCCATGACGGCCGGCACGGCAGTGCCCGGCGGTCGGAGGGAGTAAACATCTCAAAAGACCCCCCTCCTTTACCCTCAACCCGAAAATCACCCCTACCTAACCTAAAACCGACCCTAAACCCTTAAATCTAAGGTATACCTTTTGGGAAAACAAGAAACCGGTGACCCTTCCTCCTCTCGATGACTTCTCCGATCAAGGTATGGTCTCCTCCCTCTCTATTTCCCTCTTGTTTTTTTTTTTTTTTTTTTTTGGTTCGAGCATTTCTCTTTTTGTTTTTTTTTCCTGGTTTTTCTCCTTTCTTTTTTTTCTTTCTCCCTGAACCCGAATGGTCTCTCGTTCTTCTCTCTGTTTTTTTTTCAACCGAATGACCCCCCCTCCCTCTCTTTGCTTCCTTCCTTTTATCTTGCTTTGCATGTTGATTTTTTTCGTTTGGTGAGATGATGATGTCTAGAATAGCCCATGTCCTTCTCTGATTTTGTAAGATATAAATCCCGAATATTTAGGGATTTATTGGTATTTTAATTTGGGGTTTGGTTTTTGGTTGATTTGGTCACTGATGGGGTTGTTGTTTGATTGATTTTTCACTGTAGATGACGATGGTGGCGCGGGAACGGCGGCTGGACCATCGGAGTGGGCCGGAACAGTGACGGCGGCGCGGCTGGAAGTCCAACAGAAGCGGCGGCTGAGCTGATTATTTAGGGTTTTGAAACCCTAATTTTTGTTGGGTTATCATATGATGGGCTCGGGTTAAGCCTAGGTTGGGCCTTGTTGTATTGGGCTTTGGCCTGCAAAAAATATGTAATAATAAATAATAATAAAATAATAAGATAACGATAATAATAATAATAATAATAATAAAATAACGATAAAAAAAACCCGGACAAAAACGGGTGTCTACAGCTGCCCCTCTTTGCACATTCTTGTGTTAACAAGAATAGGGCAAAGACGACAAGAAAACACGTTTTTGTCTGGTTCTCCTCCTTCTTAAACTTAGAAATTGGATAATGTTGGTTGTTGGGGACGACACTGCTCATACGTGATGAAGAGTTCGGGTCGTCTAAGGGTGACATGGTTCCTACGTGATGAGGAAATCTGGTCAAGGGTTGACACTGCTCATACGTGATGAAGAGTTCTTGGCCATCTTAAGGTGATAACACGGTTCCTACATAATGAGGACGGCTGGTTATCTACGGTTGACACAGCTCCTACGTGATGAAGAGATCTGGTCTGGGGAATGACACGGCTCATACGTGATGAAGAGTTCTGGCCATCTAAAGGTGATAACACGGTTCCTACGTGATGAGGACGGCTGGTTATCTATGGTTGACACGGCTCATACGTGATGAAGAGATCTGGTCTGGGGATGACACGGTTCCTACATAATGAGGACGGCTGGCCATCTTTAGGAGTTATGGTTTCAAGAGAAACCAAATTAAATATTTGTTTCAAAAGAAACAAACCCAAAGATTTGTTTCAAGAAAAATAAACTCAAAGATGATATTTTTAAAAGCAACTGTCTCAAAAAAGACCAAATTCGTTTTAAGGGAAACGACTCAAAGATGACGTTTAAAGGGAAACTGTCTCAAATGAGACAAAATTCGTTTAAAGGGAATTGATCTCAAAGATGTTTGTTTTGTTTCAAGGGGAACAAATTCAAAGATGGTAAATTTTGTTTTCCAAATAAACAAACTCGAAGATTTTTCTCAAAGAAACTGTATCGAGGGACACAAAATTTTGTTTCCAAAGAAAGAGATTCAATGATTTTTTTTCAAAGAAATTGTTTTAAGGGATAAAACATTGTTTCCAGAGAAACAAACTCAAAGATGATCTTGTTTTAAGAGAAAATGTTTCAAGAGAAAATGTTTCAAGAGAAAATGTTTCAAGTGAAACGACTCAAAAATGGTTTTATTTCAATTGAAACAAACTCAAAGATTTTGTATTTCTAGAGAAACTGCCTCAAGGGAGTCAAAATTTGTTTTAATAAAAACAATCTCCAAGGTGGGTAGTTTTAAAAGAAATTGTCTAAATGATCTCAAATGTGGGTATTTTCAAAAGAAGTTGTCTCGAGAGACAAAATTTTATTTCAAAGGAAACAAACTCAAAGATTTTTTCAAAAGAAATTGTCTTTAAGAGATAAAATTTTGTTTCCAAAGAAAGAGACTCAAAGATGGATTACATCTTAAGTAAGACCAAATTTGTTTCAAATGAAACAATCTCAAAAGTTAGTTTTTAATTAGAAACTGTCTCAAGAGAGACAACATTCATTTTTTAAAGAAATAGACTCACAGATGATTTTGTTAAGAGAAACAAACTCAAAGATTTTCAAAATGAACATATTTAAGGATTTACTTCAAAAGAGACTGTCTCAAGAGATACAAAATTCATTTTAAGAGAAACAGATTCAAAGATTTTTTTTCAAAAGAAATTATCTTAAGAGAGACAAAATTTTGTTTCCAAAGAAACAAACTCAAAGATTTTTGTTTCAAAAGAAACTATCTTAAGAGAGACAAAATTTTGTTTCCAAAGAAACAAACTCAAAGATTTTTTGAAAAGAAACAATCTCAAAGATTTTTTTTCACAAAATTGTCTCAAGAGAGACAAAACTTTGTTTCAGACTCAAGGATTTTTCACGAAATTGTCTCAAGAGAGACAAAACTTTGTTTCAAAATAAATAGACTCAAAGATTTTTCAAAAGAAACAACTCAAAGATTTTTATTCAAAAGGAACAGACTCAAAGATTTATCTCAAGAGAAACTGTCTCCAGAGAGACAAAATTCGTTTTAAGAGAAAAAGATTCAAAGATTGTCGATATTGTTTATATGGAAATAATCTCAAAGGTGTTTTCAAAAATGTTTATTTTGTTTCAAATGAAACAATTTCAGGATTTGTTAAAAGGGGA